AATATTGAACGAAATCTTTTTTGGATTACAAAAACTTAGCATAGAAGGAAGTGCCTACAAGAAATCAAGCATACTATGAAAGTAATTCTTGAAACTGTAATGAACATAATGCAAACGAAAGGCTGCGATATTTTCAAAAACCCTAACACATATGTAAATTCTTGAAAATTCACAGACCGACTGCAGATATACATAGTTTTAATTGATATTTTTAAAAATGCCATTTTTGTCCTATACTCCAGATTTTCGGAACAAAATAATGGCGATATTTTATACTTAGCACGCAAATCAAATTAAAACGGTCGTTTAACAGAGTAAAAAAAACTACAAATTGAAAAATAAATATATAATTGTATGTTGACAGGCAGTTAGTTGCCAAAGAAAAAACGGAATCAGAAGATGAGTTTTCTAATCCCACAACCAAATTAATAATTTCATTTCAGACATCTAAATGTACATATAGTATATGAATTAGTCTGTAAGATATCGACTATAACTTTTAGAGTTCAATTTCGAGCAGCTGAACATAATAAGTATGAGAAGCGTTTTCCAAGACATGGCAGCTATCGAAGCCGTGCCCACAAAATTTGTTTCGTGAGCATGCGATATCGTGATTGCATTTGTTGTCACACGCACAGCTCTATTACTCGAATAACGGACCGAAGCCAAATGATCACGCAAGTGAATTTGAAATCGCTCGCGTACCCAGACGAGGGCAATTGCTGTGCAAGCTGATGAGGACATGTGAGCGGTGCTTAAAATTCCTTTTATGACTCTGCCACTCTGACAAGGCGCACTTGCACTGCACTTCCCCTGCACTTCCCCTGGCCCCATCCTTCATTCCTCAGCTAGTGCTTTCAAAAGTGTTGTAATGCGATGCGCGTTCGGCTTCTGCTCAAATTGTTTGAATTGGCGAATTTGCGAATCTCATGGGAAAATTTGCGAATTGCCGCGAATTGTGTTTGCAGCTTAATCGATTTTAATCGAAACGTGCCTCGCAGAAGTGTCAACGCCAGCAACCAACCCTCGGCTCGATGGCTCCGATGGCTCCGATGGCTCTGATGGATGGCCGGCATTATCAATGCGCCCGTTGCTGCGCAATGCCACCGAACTATCAACTATCCATGAACTAGTTTGGGGCATGCCTTCCACTTCATGATATATTGGCGGAGCTCTATTTGGGCTTGTCTCGCAACTTGATCAATTGCTGGGCAAATAGGTAGATTGCAAAAAGAAAAAAAATTTAAATAGCTACCACTACCAAAAATGTTGTTGCTGATTAGTTACTATATGTTATGTTATTTTCGAGCAGCTGAGAGCTTTCAGGGGTAAACTGTCCGCAACAAATCATGTTTGTGCCACCAACGAACTCGATTATAATTGTGAACTAACGGACACGTGTCGACAAAGCCAAATCAAATCTCTTCATAGCATTCTATTTAATTAACTTGCAAATTCAATTTCAAATGGCAGGCTTTGTTCATCAATGTGAAGAAAATACAAAACCTCGACTCAGATAAGTTTACTAATGGCAATTGATTTGAAAAAAATTCATAGATGTTTCACAAACATTTCAGTTCATAGTAAATTGTTCATTTTTGAGTAAATGTTGTACATACATACCTTCAAATTTGTTTATTTATACTTAATGTTGCTTATATTTCAATCACTTCAAATAAAATATCAAACGAGGGCACATTCTTACACAAGCAGAGCATATCTTTAAGCCGAATAGACATGATTTGAATCAGGACTCATTATCTTCAAGTTTTGTTGATGAAACACCAAATATGAATTAATATAAAAATCAAGTTTTGTTGATGAAACACCAAATATGAATTAATATAAAAATCGTTTCGTGCTAAAAATAAACTATACAATAAATTGATCGATGATTGATGTAAAATGGATACAAATTCATAAAAACAAAGAAATTAGATAAAATTAATATTAATACCTAAGCAACAAAAATATTGACAAGGAAGGTACAAAATTAATATAATCACTGTCCTTCCAAATCACGATTTAGGACATTTTCATAACATGGAAATGCTAGTGTCGTGCAGACCCGACACGCAATAATTATAAATTAATTAATTATTATGAATTAAAAATTAATATAATCAATAATCACTGCTCTTCCAAAATCACAATTTCAGAGATCGAAATACTAGTGTCGTGCAGATCCGACATGCAAGAATTAGTTTTAAATAAAAATAAATTAAATACAAATTATTAAATACAATAATTGTTAAGCTGAAGATTGCTCTTCCTAGAATCTTTGTGTATCACATTTTGACGATTCTATCTTTCACTTACCTAATTTTTGATATAACAAATTTATATGCATACCTGGTAAGCCCCACAGGTTCTTTTTGATTTAATTTTTTACCGTCTATATACGAGTATAGTTAATTTCCTTCCTCTGATTTGTTTTGATATTTCAAAGTTGAGGGTTTGAAATTTTTTTCCAGTTCTTTAAATACCTTTGACTGCAATGTGAATCGGGACAAACTTAGCTGCTCGAATGGTAAATAAAATTCCCCCATCAAGGCGGAGGTGTTTTTTGGATATTATTTTCATTGAAATAGATTTGATTTCCCATTTAGGCTTTCTCAGCTTAAGTTCTTTATTATTATTGTAAGTACTCGTATATATTGCTTCACCTGTGCCGACCACTTGTTTTTGTTGACATAATAAAAAATAAATAAATACAATTAATTAATTTCAGTTCTCCTGATGTCTATATCCTTGGGAACCTAGTTTGCCATTTTATTATATCTTTATTTTTTCCTTTAACTTAATAGGAAATATAGCACAAGCACGCTTCTAATAACTTTTATTCTTTTTATGCGAATCGAGTGGCGCTAATTGAATGTGATGAGCCAATGACAACTTAATTGTCATTAAGTAGTAAATATCTTTTTATGAGATCAGATTTGAGTGAGGATGTACAATTAGGTAGCGAACGAAGCCAGCATGTCGCAATCAATTGACCGCTAAATGAGTTTTTGGATTCAAGCGCGTAACACTCGAATGTGGCAGTTGGCAGTTATTCGATGGAAGTATGACGTCTGGCTGATAATTAATGAATTGTAAGCAAATCTCATAATTTGCACAGATCAGCGCCCGTGCACGCCACTCGGCCTAATCACATGAAGAATGGCCAAACTGCAGAGTTGTGAACATGTTGAGCTTTTTTCAACACACACACACACACACATGGACACGACTAGATCAAATCGGAATTTCAAATATTCAGTTTAAGGTCACTTGAGCGGGCAATAGTAATCCTTTCGAAACGAGCCAAAAAAAAAAAAAAATGTGCGCTGAAAACAAAACGCCCCAACCACTTGATGACTGGGAGTTTTTTGTACTGTTATTGTTGTTGTTGTTGTTAGAGCCGCTGTTAACAAACAGTTTTTACAAATTGCCGCAAATCAACCAATACGACTACATTATACCCAATGTCCAATTTAATTTTTGTAAGCTTTACAAAATATTGTGTGCATTCAATAAATAATATGTGCTTATAAGTCTTAGGCTTAAAGTGTATACGAAGTATATAAACAATCCATTTTGACGAGATCAAAACGTGGTGTCGAAAGCAAGGTTCTTATATCTATTTTGCGGTAAACAGTTAATGGGAAAATGTGCACTGAAGTACTTCATTATAGCATTGTTCACAAGATTATACAATATACTACATATATATGATGTGTATGAAATATGTTCGTCACGTAGCGAAACCAGTTCACTTATTCCTATTTTTCACGTTAAGTATTTTATTTTCACTTTTTAAATCAAATGAAATATTTCTACAAATCCATAAATAAACATCTTGACGAGACAAAAACCTTTGTGGCGACACTAATGAAACCATATTTTGTGTAAAAGCAGTTATCAAGAATATATGTACTATTTCTATAAAACGCTTCCTTTTTCCGTTTTAATTCAATTTTTAATTTATTTTTAATTGGATATTATTTGCAACTATTGCCAGCGTGTTACTTAATTGACAATTAAATGTCATCTGTGAATGTATGCATAATACTAAATAGATTTGGAAACGGTTGCACTCACATAAACTATATTCGAAACAAGTTCAAGGCCATGTCTAAGAAGGTTTTTGAATTATGCTTGCCAAGTTTTAATGGGATATAAAATTAAAAAACTACCGGCTCATACCCGATTCAGAACAAGTTCAAAAATGATTAATAACCACTTTAATACTCAGTAGTTTCAGATGCGCCTAAAATTTCGGTTTTAAAATTAAGCAATATTTTCTAATTATTTTTATTATAAAAAAAATGAGCAAAAACCAATATTGAATATTTTTTTGTGCTAGTTCAGAAACGTTTTAAGATTAATTCGCGAAAGTATTTGAGGCTAAAAATTGCAAGTATTATATGTTCACAACGAGTTCAAAATGGTTTTACCGGACAAAAGAAAAACGTTGACCGGGAAAATGGTACGATACCCTGAAAGCGTACTTCGTAAGCTTGCACAATTGGGGGCTACCTCGGTCGACCTTAGCGGTTCACAGTCCCATAACGCAGTCAATCAATCAACCAAAGCCCATAGCAAAGAGTGCTGCAAGCTCGAATTGAAATGCGTTAAGAAATCGAAATCAAGCCGCCATTGTAACGAACTGGAACAAAAACGTAACAAACTGAACGACATATGGATTACATAGCTATAAAATTCGCTGGGGAATTCACCAAGCTACTCGAATAGATAAGGAAACATAGAGGGAGTCACTGGACACTGGAAGCCTACATAAGTTCTGGTAACACACTTCGCTCGGCAAATTGGGGCACTCCTGCATTTATAGTTTTTTGGACAGCCACAGCATATCGCGAATTTGAATCGCAAGACTTGGGCGCCGGCCTTCAACCACGCCTAATTACTGTTGCAAATCTAGCAGCAGTGTGTCGAATGCTAATTTTGTTAAGCCGCAAAGTTTTGTAGAGACACATTAGTTGAAAGGCATTAACAGCATGAAACGTATACACAGAAATGCCATACTCCAAACGCTGATTTTCGTATGCCTATTGGTATTATATTGCTTCCTGCAGTTTCCAATTGAGAAACCTCGCCCAATTCTAAAGGACTATGAGCCAAAGGTTCCAGTGAATATGGGCTCGATTCTAGAGCAGAGGGTACGAGCAGATCTCAGCAAACAGAGCTCGTCACATTCCAAGATCAAGATCTCTCACTTAATGGATAATGACGAGAATTTACGCACCTTCGGCTTCAATGTTGAGCTCAGTAACACACTCTTCTATATTCGAAAATTGCCCGATGCTCGCAGTGGGAAGTGCAAGAAACAGCGTTACAATCTGAAGAAGAAACCGGTCACAGCGAGCGTAATCATTGTTTTCCACAATGTGCCCCTATCGATGATCCTGCGGACGGTGCATAGCGTAGTAAAGCGTAGCAGCAAGGCTTTGCTTCGGGACATCATCCTGATCGACGATGCCAGCTCCCTAACGCAGTCGCGGGAACAACTGGAGTATTATGTGCGGACTCGATTCAGTAATATCGTGCAGATCGAGCGCAATAGGAAGAGGCTGGGTATGGCGCAATCACGTCTGAGAGGCTCCCAGAGGGCGAATGGTGAGATCTTAATATTCATGGATGCCTACTGTGAGCCCAATGCAGGATGGTTGGAGCCACTGCTAAGCCGCATCCAAGAGAGTCCAACTAGCGTAGTAATGCCGACACTCGACCAAATCAATGCCACGGACTTTTCATACAAGAAAAGGATTAACACCATCGGCGGATTCAACTGGAAAGGCGACTTCCTCTGGCTCCCACTGTCTAAGAAGCGCCGTCAGCAAATAAAACTCAACTGCACGCAATCGCTCTCCACATGCCCCATCAGCAGCCCTACAATTCCGCCGGGCAGTGTCTACGCCATCGCACGTATTCAGTTTCAACAATGGTCCTACTTTGATGAATCGGTCAGTAACTAAGCATACCTCATTTATATACATTTACTATATAACACAGGCCTACAAAAACAATTTTTTTTTGGCTCAGTTGTGTTTGTATCTGTAGTCGGTGGGATAGTTAGTATGTACTATATTGTCGTTAGTCAATGTCAGCTGACAGCTCTGGCTCACCTACTGCTCCCATTTTAACTCTTTGGCGGTTCTCTTTGAAAACAGTCCATTTTGAAATAGCTCCTATGAAATTTATCTTATTACTTTATTATGGCAGCAAGTTTAGATGTTGTACCAACGATCCTGATAAGTTTTGTTATATTTGTGGTGAACACATATTGAAAGATCAGCTAAAATCTATTACCAACACTGTAATTCCCTGTATTTTGCTTACTTTGGTATTGAAATTCGCAACCAAGATAAAATGTGGGTGCCTCATAGCGTTTCGAAAATATGCATTGAACATTGCGGCAATGGAAAAAAAAATCCATTTTGTTATTTTTGTACAACGAATGTAGTGGGAAACAACAACAGCAAAAAGTAAGGGAAGTATCCCAATATTTCTTAAGCTATAAGACCTATTCTCCATTCAGACACTATTCCAATACCAAGTTTTCATCATTCAGTCTAGGAATCTATGGAGGATCAATAAGAAATTTCTAAAGAATATAACGATGTTAAATACTGTGGGGAAATATCAAATCCAAAAACATTTCCTGGGTTAAGTATTGAGAAATTAAAAGCAGGAATTTTTGATGAGCCTCAAATACGTCAATTAATTAAAAGTTCAAAAAATTTTGAAGCTCCATGACTAAAAAAGATCAACTGGCGTGGATATTTTTTGTAGAGGTTGTACAAAACTTCCTTGGAAAGTATAAGGCTGATAACAACTATATAGAGCTAGTCGAGCAAATGCTTCTTAACTTAAGAATTTTGGCTGCAATACGTGCACCACCTCCATAATCATATAGATCAATTTCAATATAATTTAGGAGATCTTAGTGAAGAACAAGGAGAATGCTTCCATCAAGATATAAAATCAATGGAGAAAAGGCAGATGGGAAATTCACATGATGGCTGATTATTGCTGTGGACTTATGAGTGATGGCCTAAGAAAATTTCACTCAACATTACTCAAAACAGTTTCTTAATGAATAATACCAAAATAAATAAATATAAAATCGAGCGAATATAAAAAATATGACTGGTTCTTTGAATCACCTCACAAGACATACTTAGAATCAGGTCTAAAATCTTCCGCACCATAATGTGTGTCGTCCTGTGTAATCAATAGAAAAAAAAACCGAACAATAGCTTCAGGACGAAATGCACATATTTTCAGAAATTTCATTTCATAATCCAAAGGAAGATTTCGTCCCAAAAATAAGAAGGCTCGAATTTGTTCAATCTCTTTAAATTTTAAAATTTTCTAAAGAAAAGAAAGCTTTGTTACAAATTGGAAATTAATTAATTTAATTCCTGTTTCCCACATCCAGGTCGTGAGCTCGGGGGGAGACACCCTGGACATGTCATTCAGCATTTGGCTTTGTGGAGGCCAAATCGAGGTGTTGCCCTGCTCCCGCGTAGGTCGCGTAGTCCTAGACCACAGGTTTGTTAAGATCCTTCAAACGTTACCCATCTAGTTTTATTCACAGATTTGATTTCGATAGGTATAAGTATTTACCCAAGTTCAGTGAGGAAGATCGCGGAAATGTAGCCGTCAGCTGGTGGGAAAAATATCAAAATATATTCTTCAAATACTACCCGAAACTGAACCCTGATATGTTCAGAGAAGTGAAGGCCAGACGTCACACCATTCAAGACTTTTTAAATTGCAAGAGCTTCAACTGGTACCTAAAGCGTGTTTACCCCGATAAATATTTGCCAAAACGTTTTCAGGAACCAATTGGCAGGTCAGTACTCATAGTTTTTTGTTTACTACTTTCAGAAAAATATGACTCCAAAATCGCATTTAATAAAGGAAATGGAATTTAAAAACTAACATTGAAGTTATCTTCGTCTGTGCCATAGCTATGTACATAGAAATGCTATATAACCAAGTCTTCTTCTATTGTTTCTCTACTTGCCTCTCTTTTAAGAATATTACTTTTCTTGAAAACAAATTTCAGAAATCTATTTTCTTAAAATAATGATAAGATATTTCAAATATTGAAGTATTTCCTAAATTTCTTCCTGATTTTAATATTTACAATCATCTCTCTAAAGTGGCAAAATCTTCTTCAAAAAGAACATATATTTTTAAAAATGCTTTTCAAAACCATAAGATACACATACTTGTAAGTGTTCTTTAATGAAGAAACTGTCTTTTCAGGTTAAAATCTGGAGCTAATAAACAGTGCCTTACTGATAAATTCATGGAAAACCCGTCAACGAACAGCAGCATACAGATTGCAAAATGCAAAAGAAAATTCGATCCCACCCAGATATTCTTCTTCTCCAACTCAAGTCAGTTACGAACGGAATTCAACTGTCTGGTTGTCAACCAGCAGTCCGCCGATCCGAAACTGGTGGAGCTCGTTCCCTGTGATGATATAGCCAAAAAATATCTAAGAACTTGGACTATGAGAGGTTCCTCCATCAGCATGCAGGTGAATCATCGTACCATGTGCCTCGACCAAATCAAACAGCGGAAAATCTCAGCGACAGTGCCTGCCCTGATGCCGTGTAATAAGAGCAGCAGAACCCAGTACTGGATCATCAGTGCACCGAAAATGATCGTCAAATCTCGGTCCCGAAGTAGGACATCGATTAAGTCAAAACAGATGATTAAATTGACTGCCAAAACCGGATTGAAAACACAAACGAAACGGAAGAAGAAGCGCCATCGCAAAACCTGGTCCAAGGACAAAAATCAACAAAAGATCTTAGCTCCGGAATCCGTGAAAGCTAATGTTACCATCACAACTAAGTCTCAAAAGCAAATAAAAGAAAACAGTAAGAAAAAGAATGAAGAACAAAAAGAAAAGCAAAAGCAACTTAACAAAACAGATAAAAAAAGAATGAAGAAAAAAAAAAGAAAAGCAAAAGCAACTTAACAAAACAGATAAAAAAAGAATGAAGAGAAAAAAGAAAAGCAAAAGAAACTAAACAAAACAGATAAAAAAAATAATGAAGAAAAAAGAAAAGCAAAAGAAACTAAACAAAACAGATAAAAAAGACTAATGAAAAAATCTAAAATAAAGAATTTATAATCGATCTACAAAATTATTCGTTAAAAATCTTTCTATTTCAATGTCTAATCACTTAAATAGTCAGATATCAGGACTCGGAGTACTTTTGCAAAATCTTTACAATTTTAAATAAATATAAATAATTGTTAACTACTTTATTTCTTCACTTCATTAATTTAAAGTGCTTGTATATAGAAAGTGTTATTTAAAATGAAATTGGTTACGGTTGTAAGTAGTTAGTTGCATTTATTGTTGCGTGTGAGATCTCGTATTAAGCTAAATCGAAAATAAATTAGAATTCTAAATAGTTTTGCACCAAAAACCAATAGAAGAGCAAAGGTGAAAAGAATAAGAAATAAATGTTTGTAACTAAGTTACAAGTTTATTCTTATTATTTAATCAAAAGAATATCCAAATTTTGACTGTACTTGCATTTTCTTTTACGTCAATATTTAAAATTTTAAAAATATGCCCAAATAAAAAACTCGTTTATTAGTTTATTTAAATATAAATAAAAATAAAAGGGTATTGCCTTTTATTATGTGTACATTATTTCTAGAGTGGTGTCATAAGGCCATTATCAATGTCTATTTTGGCTTTTGAATGTGCCTGGAATCATTTGAAATGATATATTAAGCTATATATTCAACTTTTTGTACATTTCTCCAGTGGTTGTTGGACAATTATTTCTACCTTAAATAAATCAAAGTAGACACTTATTTCAAAACAAGTTGCTTTCATTTTGTGCACTCGTGTCTCGGCAGTTGGTTGATCGGCCATCAGGCTGTCCAGTGGGACCAGCGGGACCAGCTCTCTACCCATGCGAGCACGCATTATAAATTCATAACAGGAATACACTATATAGAGTCGTACTCGTAATTGCTTGCAGCGTTTAATTAGTTGTCGTGCTCAATTTGCCTCTGCAGGCTATACTTGTATCTGTATGTATGTTGCCTTTTAGTTTATTTGCCCCAGTGATTGCCTCATCGTCTTTGACGCTCGGGTGTATACGGTTTTTGCACAGTTTCCATTAGCCAGACCTGTTGTCGCGGTCAGGTGTTGTCAATCAAGTTGCTTTCGTGTTTAGTAGGCTTTAATTAGGTTTCGCAAACTGTAACACTTTTCATATCAATCAATAAATTGTACACTGAAATTGGGTTACGAGTGTGTGTGTGGGCCGTATATGGATTGTTCGGCATACATTCAAAAGTAAACGACAATTTGCGTACATTTCACGCTGAAAGTGCTGGCCGATTTTTAAAATTATTTAACTTCACAACTAGGAACTACTTTTCAAATATTCAATCCAATAGAAAAAAAAATGCGAAGCCATACACTAAAATCAATAACTTTGCTAGAGCTTAAATTAAAATTGTATTCCATATTCTGCAACATCATAAGCCAAATTTTATAACAATTATATACACATGTATATATTTTGGATAAAATAAATATATCTATTCAATGCGGAGAGCTCAGACAATTTTTAAAATATAAAAAAATATATATGTATATTATTTTTAAAATAATTATATGAAACCATACTTCATGACGAAACTTAGCATGAGGACACATAAAGACTAGGAGGATGTAATTGCCAAATTTAAGTTCAAAATGCTAAGAATAACTAAATAATAAAAAAGAATACAAAAAACCCAACTGCAGAGAGTCATCCCAAGACTAAAAACAATTTACAATGTATGTTTGAGGAAACCGAAGGCAATAATTATTCTAAAACAAGCAGAATATTAACATCACAACAACGTGACTTTGGAGTGTAGGATACTCCAATTGCAATACGTAATAATACATGTTCTTATACTGTGGCTCGATTAATAACAACATCGATGTATTCTATATAAATAAAAGTGTGAAGTGATCCGATAAGAGTGATTTTTGCGCCAATGGATTCTATGGCAGCTATATAAAATAATGAGGCTATATTCAATATGGGTTGTAATAAGCTTGCTCTGCCCTTGATAGGATTCTCACTGTTTTTAACGCTCTCTTTAACGTTCCACACATTTGGCACATTGGTAGACTATCTAGTATACTCTTTCACCCTTCGGTTACAGGTCATATAAGAGGAGCCTAATTATTATTAGTTTTATGCAAGAAATTGGTCTGGCACTCTGTTTCTTAATCACTAAATACTCTAATGTAGAAAAGTTTTGTACTTTTCATAACAAATCTTGCATGGTTTAACCTTCTTTTTGGAAATTGTGAAAAATTGAAAGTCATAAGGCAAGATTTTAATTACAAAATCGTCAGCACGATCTAATTCCTCAGCAGTCAGACTGGTGGTTTAGCATTTAGCATTATACATAAAACATTCATATGCGTTTACTTTTGCGCCCATAACTCACGCTGAGGTGAAAGGTGCACCAATTTTTTTGTATGTTTTATTTTTTCCTTTAAATTTGTTGTTGGGTGGTGGTGATTCATTGAGCGTTTCGGCGGTTTGACTGCCTGGCCTGATCTGGTTTCGAACGAAAACGAAACTAATTCCGCTGTGAAAAAAAAGTTTGTACAGCTCTACGCCCATTTCTACAAATACTGAGACTCACACACTTAACTATGCTTGCTGTGCCATTTCTGACCAGCTGATACTTGTAGTTTGCTTTTCGCTTTTTTGCACTTTGCCCGGCTTGGACTTTTTACCACTTACTTCCAATTGGTTCAAGCCATTGCGTATGTAATTAAAGTATGAAATTTCACCTGGAGTGCGGCTGCCACACCTGTCGACCATTGAAGACGCCAATTCGCAATGGCAGCCATCCATGGGAAGTTTCTAAGTTAAGGTGTACAAATGAATGCACATAAAGAAATTAGCATTGAATGATTAAATGGAATTACTAAGTAAGCAAACAAATATTAAAATATCATATAGGTTATGAGATCGCTTTCATATACAATTTTAATAGAGCACCAGAGGTTGACGTGACGTTGAATCTGGTGGATACACAAACCTTCTTCATCTTGGTCGCCAATGATGGAAACTTAAAGGAAAACCAATATATATAAGTAAACCTAATTCTGTTTTTACACGGTAGATTGGTTCAAGAAAAGGTCGTGTAAAAAACACATTGATCATATGTTATTTTGAAAATAATAAAAATAATAAAATATATAAAATTTTTAATTTTCAAACCATGTTAAATCACAACCGTGTAAAAACAGAATTAGGTGTATATATAATACATATACAGTGAAAACTCTCTTGGCCGGCCACTCACGGTTGGCCAATTTACGTGCGCCCAAGGGGATACTTATAAAGTATTTATAAGCCGATCGAATGTTTTAGAAAAAGTGTCCGCGGAGGAGAGTGTACGGATAAAAGAACTGTCCACTAAGGGACATTTAAAATATATTTAAAATTAACTACATAAACTCTTGATTAACGTATAATGGTTCATATAGATCGTAAAATTTTGTTAAAGCAATCCGCGTTTAATGAGTTATTTAAGATAAAAGGCAAATTTTCTTTTAAATACTTATATACAAGTATTATTGAACGAAGTTTTAACTGTCCTTTGTAGTATTGTGAAGGAAAATACTTAAAACTACCCTCAATTACAAGAAAAAGTACAATAATATTGAAGGCCATTTAGTGGACCTACATTTTCCCATAACAGTATGCGGGTTTATATCTTTATAGTCAGATATTTAGAAAAGTTAATCATTTATTCAGTCTTAAGGAGTAGTTACTTGTATATTAACTTAAGCTGCAGAATATAATTTTATGAAACTCTATTCAAACCGATTACTTTTCGAGTTTCCAGAGGATTGTCATACGATTGCCTATGAACCATTGCAACGTGTATTTATTCTTGGAGTGGTACTTTTTGATTTCAAATTAACTTCAATCTTCACACCTCTATAATTGTAAAAAAAGTTAAGTGCGTTCTATACATGATACATTTGATAACAAATCTTGTGTTTGTTGTCCCCAATATATATCACATCAGCATTAGATTGTCGGTTCGGACACAATTGCTTTTTCGTGGCTTAAGCCGGGATCTGAATCTTTATTTTCATCCCACTCAAGCAGACTTCTGCTCATAAATCTCGCGTCGCTGGCCAATCGAAGAACTGTCCTTGGTATTGTGTTCCTCCACAACATGGTTGTTTGCCTTTTATAATTGGGTTAATTTCTCGTTTCCATGCAGACCAGACCGGACAAGAAATAATTTTCCTCTAACTCTTAATAGACTATAGTCATGAAGCTATTCTTAGTCCAAACACTTGGGGTTGACGTAAGAAGTGCCCGCTCGCTATGTGTCCCCCATGCTGACACCGTCGATGATTTCGGGTCAAAAGTTTTTCTTTTGTGTTGCCAATTCGCGAATCATATAAAAATTAGATTGTTATAAAATGCGCAACTGCACAGCGTCTGAAATGAATTAAAACCGGAATTAAGTTGCCTTGGCAACAAAGCTAGCATTGTTAACCCCATAAGAGCGAGCGTTGGGCACAAAACGTGCCGCATGGCATTATACTTGTAAGCAACTGCCGCCATGTATATTGTTGCCGGGGATCATAAATCTCGAGTGGCCAGGAACAAACAGCAGACAAAGCGACAGAGTTAGAGCGACAACCTAAGCGGTCGGCAAACAGCTGGCTAGCTGGTAGACTGCGACCAACAAATTTACAATATTTGTGCAGATGCAAAATTTTGAGGTATTACGACAAAAGGCTCCATTCTCCATGGGCCGGACAGGGGCTCAGGCCAAAGGCGAAAATTGCTGTCCACTAATAAACTTG